TTTATTACTGTTAACAATCATAGTTACAAGTTACGTAGGACCGGACAACACCGCAGTATTCATTTTCATTGCACTCCACCAACAGCGGGTGTGTGTCTCAAACTGTTTCTCCAAGTGCTTATCTCCGTTATCTCCAGTGTCCTTTTATCCCCTATCACTGTAGCTTAGGAAAAGTTGATTTATTTAGAAACTAAACTCAAATGGTTTCAGATATCTCAGTAATTTAAAGCCATTAATGTAACTGCACAGCCCTGAATTACAGAGCTGTTATCACTGGAAGCTGTGTAATCCCAGTCTGTCGGGAGTTTACCTTCTGATAGACGGATGCGCTATTGAGTTTTATGTCCCACACGCTTCCCTGAAGTACTCCGTGCAGTGTTTTGAGGCGCGAATGTGTTTAACTCAAAGCGCTATGATTTATAGAGCGTGGTTAAAGCTTCCAGTTGTTCCCCTGGGCTTCATGTGTGATTTTCAGGATGGAGGTAAATTTAGTAGTAATATGAATAGCTCTTATTTTTGTAACTTCCTGGAATTGTAGACAGAAAGTTTATTTACATTTTCTAAATATTTTACTCTGCTCATAATTTTGTTAACAGTTTTTAGGAAGAACGATCTAGAAATGAGCACATGCCAGCTGCTAATTAAAGTTTATTTTTTTCTGTGAGTCAGTGAGAGAGAGATTGCAACCCCCATAAGGTCTTTTTTTTGGAGGGGAGAGTTTTTGCTCTAGGGCATGTGCGCTTGCCAGTCAGCCAGAGAGAGACAGAGAGACAGAAGGCGAGAAATCACCCCCTGGGGGGATGGCCATGCCGCAATTCCTTCTCCTCCCGGGATCTTGGGCATACATGCACACGTGCCTGGCGTGAGTTTTAAGCCACTGGGTATGGGACTCGAATCACGGTCGACTGCGTGGGAGTCCAGCGACATAGCCATTATGCTAACTGCTGGTCCCCCCATAAGGTCTTTTTTTAATAACTTTTTTCCCTCAAATTTTATTTATTGTTTCTATGCATGTACGAGAGAGAGAGAGAGAGAAAGAGAGAGAGGGAAGAGAAGAGACAAGACCAGACCAGACCCTTGACAGATCTCATCAAGTTGTAGTCCCCTTTCCCTAGCCTTCCAGTTTGTCAGGTTCCTAGACACACGTGCATGTGTCCACTGTATTTTCTTTCTTTACTTTTTAGAGAGATTTTTGCTTTAGGGTGTGTGTGCTTGCTGGAGAGACAGAGAGAGACGTAGAGATAGAAAGCGATAAATCACCCTCACCCCAACGAGGGATGGCCTTCTTCATTTTTCTCTTGGGATTTTGGGCACACATGCACACATGCCCAGTATGAGTTTCACACCACCAGGTCCGGGACTTGAACCACGGTCAACTACGTGGGAGTTAAGTGATATAACCAGTATGCCATCCGCTGGTCCCTTCTTTTCTTTATTTTTAAAAAATATTTGCTAGGGGTCGGCAGGTGGCTTGGTGGTTAGGGGTGCTGGACTCATGCATGGCTGACTGCGGTTCAAGTCCTGGACCTGGCGGCTTTCTCTCACTCTCACTCTATCTCTCTCTGGTCAAATTGAAGTATATAAATGAATGAATAAATAAATTTAAATAAAATAATTAAAAAAAAAACGTTTGCTAAAGGACATATGCACTTGCTAAAGAGAGACAAAGAGAAGGAAAATGCGAAAGCATCCAACATGGGGAATGGTGATGCCACAATTTCTTCTCCATTTTTCCTCCATTTGAGATTTTGAATGTGTGCGTGCATGCTTAGCTAGGCAAATATTTTCTTGCCTTAATTAATATTTCTAATATTACTAGTGAGATGGGAAATTTTAGGTCTAATTTTTTTAAAAAAGTTATTTAATTTTATGTATTATTATTATTTTAATTCACGAGGGAGAGAGTGAGGGAAAGCGAAAAAGCAAGTTGCCAGGTCTGGGACTCAAACTGCAGTTGGCCCTGTAGGAGTCCAGCACCTTCACCATCTTGCCACCTGTTGGCCCCAGGTCTTTTTTTTTTTTTTTTTTAAAGTTTATTTATTCCACGAGTGAGAGACAGAGACATACATACCCAAACACAGAGAAACCAGACAGACAGAGACGAGCTTCCCCAGCGGGGTCCTTATGCTGGGAGCCACTTCTCAGCCAGCGTGGATCATGGGCATTGTGCCCGTGTGCTTGCGGAGGTGGGAGGTCTGGGGTTGCGAACCTAGGACTTTCCTGTATGGATTCAGTTGTGCTACCGCTGCACCATCATCTGGTCCTGGAACTTTTATTTCTAAGTTTAATAACTGTTTCTTTTCTTTTTGGAGAGGTTTTTGCTATAGGGCGCATGCGCTCGCCAGACAGAGAGACAGAAAGCGAGAAATCACCCCCCAGGGGGGATGGTCACGCCGCAATCCCTTCTCCTTCGTTCTCCTCTCGGGATCTTGGGCACACATGCACACGCACCCGGCGTGAGTTTTAAGCCACCGGGTCCGGGACGTTAACCGCGGTCGACTACTTGGGAGTCCAGCGACATAGCCATTATGCCAACTGCTGGTCCCATAACTGTTTCATTTCTTTTGGATTGTCTGTTCATTTCCATTGCTCAGCTTTTTAGTAGGAATTCATGGTTTTCTTATTTATTTATCTTTTCTTAGATTTTTTTTGCTATAGGCACGTGAACTTGCCAGAGAGACAAAGAGAAACAGAGAGACAGAAGAGAAGAAATAACCCCCCAAAGGGATGGTCATGCTACAGTCCCTTCTCCTCCATTCTTCTCTCAGTATCTTGGGCATGCACGCACATGCACCTCATGTGAATTTTAAGCCTCCGGGTCCTGGACTCAAACTGCTGTTGACTACATGGGAGTCTAGTGACATAACCATTATGCCATCTGCTGGTCTAGATACTCATGGTTTTCTTTAATAGTTTGTATGATTCTACCAGGAGATAAGATCTTGTCCAGTTTTTTGTTTTTTTTTTAAGAAATTTTAAGTTTAACTTTATTTATTTACTTATTTATTTTTAATTTGACCTGAGAGGGACAGAGCAAGAGAGAGAGAGAGAGAGTGAGAAAGCAAGCCACCAGGTCCAAGACTTTTGGTATTTGAACCTTGGTCGATTATGTGGGAGTCCAACATTCTTAACCACACACCACCTGCTGACCCCATCAAGGTTTTTTTGTTTGTTTGTTTGTTTGTTTTAAGAGTTCTTTTGGTTAAAGGGTGTGTGTACTCACCAGAGACACAGAAAGAGACAGACAGAAAGCAAGGAAACCCCCCACCACCATCACCAGAGGTGATGCCATTCCGTAATCCCTTCCCCTCCATTCTCCTCTCAGGATCTATGGCACGCATGCACACACATGTGCCCAGCGTGAGTTTTTAGCTGCTGCGTCCAGGACTCAAACAGTGACCGACTACGCGGGAGTCCAGCAGTGTAACCATTATACCATCTGTTGGTCCCTTGTCCTGGGTTTTATTTATTAGTCACTGGGAAAGTTATGACTTATTTTTCTGTTTTCCTCCCCCCAAGAGGTTTTTGCCTTAGGGTGCATGCTCTTCCTGGAGACAGTGGGAGAGAAAGTGAGAAATCACCCCCCAGCTGGAATAGCCATGCCACAGTCGCTTCTGCTCCATTCTCTTTCTGGGATCTTGGGCATATACACACACACACACACTGGTGTGATTTTCAAGGCACCAGGTCCGGTTGGCCACATAGGATTCCAGTGACAAAACCAACATGCTCTCTGTGGCCCCTCTTTGTTTTTTTATGGAAAAGTGGGTCATGACTTCCCTGATGACCCAATATTTTTATTAGTTATTTATCTTTTAAGGACTATTAATTAGTTTTCTGTAGCCAGTCCCATAACTCAGTGATTAAGGAAACTGGCCCACATGGCTGACCCCATTTTGAATCGTGGCCCTGGTGGCTTGAAAAACATGGCTGGGGGAGCCAGCAGATGGTGTAGCAGTTATCCCACATTGCCAACTGTGGTGGCTTGAAAATCATACTGGGCATGCGTGCATGCGTGCCCAAGATCCTGGGAGGCGAATGGAGGAGAAGGGATTGGGGCATGGCCATCCTCCCTGAGGGGTGATTTCTCACTTTCCCTCCCACTCACTGTTTCTCTATGACAAGCGCACATGCCTTAAGGCAAAATAAAAACCCCCCTACTTAAAAAAAAATAAAGCAAAACATGGCTGGGTACCTGTGCGTGCATACCTAGAATCCTGATGGGAGGGAGGATTGGAGGACAAAGTGACCATACCTGATTGAGGGATTGTTTTTTTGGGGGAAAGGTTTTTTTTTGCCTAGGGCACATGTGTTTACCAGAAAGACAGACAGAAAGAGACAGAAAGCAAGAAGTCACCCCCAGGGGAGATGGTCATGCCGCAATCCCTTCTCCTTTCTCCTCTTGGGATCTTGGGTACGCATGCACATGCACCTGTCATGTTTAAACCACTGGGTCCAGAACTTGAACTGTGGTCAACTATATGGCAGTCCAGCAACATAGTCATTACGCCAACTGCTGGTTCCAGTTGAGGGGTTCTTGATCTCTTTCTTTCTGGTGAGCATATATACCCTCTGTCAATTAAAAGGAAAAAGAAGAAAAATAGTTTTTGGTCAACTAGTTCATGAGTTCTTTTCCTAAGGCCCGATTATATGCTGACAGATCATATATTTTATTAATCTAGTTATCCAGTTTTTGGTTAATTGGTTTTTTGTTTGTTTGGTTTTTCTAGGTTTTTGCCATAGGGCATATGCGCTCATTGAAGAGAGACAGAGAAAGGGAAAGTGAGAAACCATGACCCTGGGAGGATGGTCACATTGCAATCCCTCCTCCTCTATTCTCCTTTTGGGATTTTGGGCACACAAGGCATGTACATGTGCCCCACACTGCCAGGTCTGGGACTTGAACCATGAAGCTGGCCATCTGGAATCCAGTACTTTAACCTCCATGCCACCTGCTGGTCCCCTTTGAGTCCTGTGAATAATTTGTTTTATCTTTCCAGAAAGAAGTAATGATGTAAATCATTCGTTGTGCAAACCTCGAGTTCAAAGGTGAGAAGGAAGGTCAGAAAGAACATGGCCTGGCCAAGCATTTGTCAGAGGGGAGCTCCGTGTTCTCGATTCAGCCATCACCACGCTGTTGTGTTCCTGCTCACCTTCTTCAGGTACGCAGATTACCGGAGCCGTTCTCTGGCTTGTTTTTCTTCGGAAGGAGATACTACGTGGCACGTGTCTAATGCACCGATTGGCATCGTCTGGAAATGAGACAGTTTGTTACTCCTCCTGCCGTGCTTTTTGGCAGGTCTGCTACCGTAGGTCATGAGGACTGCGAGCCCTCCAGGGGACGTTTGGCAATGTCCGGAGACATTTTAGGGCATCACAGTATGGGCAGGGGTACTTCTTGGCATCTCACGGTAGAGACCAGGGGTGCTGCTAAACATCCCACAGTGCACAGGAGAGCCCACACAACAAAGAAGTTTTTGGCCCAAAATGTCAATAGAATAGAGGCTGAGAAACCTCGATCCAGGAAAAGCTGTCTGTCTGTTAAGACCAGGAGTTTGAGAACAAAGGATGTGCATGTTCTCTGTGCCTCCCTGTGCCTCCTTGAGCAGCAGAGATGGTGTGAGATGACTGCGAGGAGCTCGGCCGGGGGACCCCCGAGCATAGCAGCACCTGGTCAGCGCAGCCGTGGAAACCACTCCCCATTGGGGCTCTGACACCCGGTGATTCTCTTTAGTGACATGACATAAGTCAGGCCACTTGGCATTAGGGGCATGTTATATGTAACCCGGATGCTCAGGTATTTCGGTATTTCTTCTGAGTAGACTTTATTATTATTTTTAAGTTTTTTTGGTTTTGTTTTCTGTTTTTGTTTTTTCTTTTTTTGGCTACAAGGCATGTGTGCTCACTAGAGAGAGGCAGAGAGAGAGAGAAAGTGAGAAATCACTCCCTAGGGGGCACGGCCGTACTGCTGTCCCATCGCCGCCATTCTCTTGGGATTTGGGGACACATATGCACATGGATCTGGCATGATTTTCAAGGCACTGGGTCTAGGACTTGAACTGCATAGTCAGCCATATGGGACCCAGCCGCCTTAACATCTACGTGACCTGATGGCTCATATTTTGTTATTTAAAAAAAATATGATTAATTTTTGTGCCATGAGGTACATGTGCTTGTCAGAGGGAGCGAGAAAGTGAGTAAGCATTTCCCACCGGGAATGGCCGTGCTGCAGTCCCTTCTCCATTTCTCCTTTCAGGGTTCTGCGCATGCCCAGACATGTGTCCTATGTGTTTTTCAAGCCAGCAGGTCCAGGACTAGGACCACATCGTCAGCCATGTGGGATCCAATCATTTTAACCACCATGCCACTGGCTGACCTGATTTTGTTTATTCATTTTCATTGAAGGTAACACAAGAAGAGTGATTTTTTTTTCCTTGAAAGTAGAAACTAAGAAAATGATTTCCAATTATGTAAGAATTTAGCTCATTTTTGGATGCTTGGTTTAAAGCTGCCCATTTGGGAGGAGTAGGGGGGTAGGCATCAACGTGAGGAAGGGCGGAGACTCAAGGAAAGCCCCTGAGTGGCTAATGCAGTGCGAGCCCAGTGGTTGCTGCAGAGTCACATTCTTTCCAGAACTGCAGCCATGCTTAGAGTGGGTTGGGATCAGTCACATATCCATCTTCTAGTTCCAGGGATAAGTTATAGGTGATCGTGGACTCACAATGAAGATGACTAGCTACTTTTTTCTTTTGCTTAACAAAGACTGTCTCAATTGATACTTCTTAATTTCTTTTCTTAAAGATTATTCGGTTATTCTTCCATGAGAGGAAACAGAGAGGTATGCCCAGCAGGGTCTTCCTGCTGCCGTCTACCCCTAGTCTCAGCCAGCCCAGGTCATGGGCACATACATATGTGTGTGTGTGTGTGTGTGTGTGCGCGTGCCTGTGCACGCGCCTCGCATGCTCAGGGAAGTCCCAGGATGTGAACCCAGGACCTTTCCCATGTAGGTCCAGTAGTGGCACTTCAGTACCACCGCTTGGCTCCTCAGTTGTTATTAGTGCTTACATAGCAGTCATCTTTCTTCCTCCTTTTCTTTCTTTCATTGTCAGATGATGTGTGCACTCACCAAAGAGAGAGAGAGAGAGAGGAAGCCCCCTAAGTGGGGTGTGATCACGCTGCAGTCTCCACTTCTCCTTCCCATCAGAATCTTGGCACACGTATACACCTGTCTAGCGTGTTCCTCAGGCCATGGGGGCCAGGATTTGAACTCTGGTTGACCACGTGGGATCTGGTTTCCTTAATCCCTGGGCTATGGGGCTGGCCCTCTTTCTTTTTAAGAGAAGAATTCTGAAATTGACTAAAACCAATGGACCTGTGCCTGTGACCTTACTGAGTGCTGTTTTCTTTGCTGTTCATGCAGCTCTGTTTCTTCTCCCTGTTTTGCAGCTATTCGTTGCTCCATGCTTCAAGGAAAACATTCAGCAATGTCAAAGTCAGTATCTCTAAGCAGTGGACCCCAAGTGCGTTTAACACATCAGTTGAACTGCCTGTGGAGGTAAGCAGGGCAGAGCCGGGATGGACTTAGGAAGGGAACATGCCCACCTCTAAGCTCTTCTAAAGTTTCTCTTTTGCATCATTCACCTGTTGAGAACCCTGCAGTGACTTTCTGTTTCCTGTGACTTGAAGCCTAAGCTATTTTACTGTTTCAAAGCCTGCTTTGATTCAGGCCCATTTTACCCGTCCGGCCAGCTTTGTGTTGTAAAATCACATAATTCTTGCTAGCCCCTATTTTCATCAGCACTGGCTTGTTTCTGCCTTGGAGATTTTGTTCATTATCTTTTATTGGTTTGTTTTTGCCATAGGGTATGTGGCCTTGTCAGAGAGAGGGAGGGAGAGAGAAAGTAAGAAATCACCCCCAAGAGTAGGTCAGCCAGCTGCGATCCCTTCTCCATTCTCTGCTCAAGATCTTGGACACACATGCACACACATGTAGCATGATTTTTTTTTTTTGAGAGAGAGGTTTTTTTTTGTGCTGTAAGGTGTGTGCACTCACCAGAGAGACAGAGACAGACAGAGAGACAGAAAGCAAGAAATCACCCCCCCAGGGAGGGGGTGGGCATGCCACGATCCCTTCTTCATTCTCCTCTTGGGATTTTGGGCATGCATGCGCCTGCACCTGGTATGAGTTTTAAGCTGCTGGGTCCAAGACTTGAACCATAGTCAAGTACATGGGGGTCCAGTGATGTAACTGCTACACTATTAGCTGGTCCCCCAGTCTGATTTTTAAAAAAATATTTAAAGATTGATTTTTGTGATAGGTGCATGCACTCAGCAGAGAGACAGAAAGCAAGTAATCACCCCCAGGGGGAATGGCCGCTCCACAATCCCTTGTCCTTCATTCTTCTCTCAGGCATGGATACACACATGCCTGGCATGAGTTTTCAGCCACCGAATCCAGAACTCAAACCACGGTTGACTACATGGGCATCCAGTGATGTAACCCTTACACCATCTGCTGGTCCTCCACAGCATGATTTTTAAGTTACCTAGTCTGGAACTTAAACCGTTGTTGGCCATGTGGGCGTCCTGCCCCTTAACCACCATGCCACCTGCTGGCCCACATCTTTTTTTTTGCATCTTTAATTTTTTTTTTTTTGAGAGGTTTTTGCTATAGGGCGTGTGTACTTGCCAGCAAGACAGACAGAAACAGAGAGACAGAACGTGAGAAATCACTCCTCAGGGGGGATGGCCATACTGCAATCCCTTCTCCCCTCTTCTCCTCTCTGGATCTTGGGCACTTATGCACACATGCCCGGCGTGAGTTCAAGCCACTGGATCTGGGACTTGAACCATGGTCGACCTAATGGGAGTCCAGCGACATAACCATTATGCCAGCTGGTCCTGCATTTTTGAATTTTTTAATTTGCCAGAGGATGTATGTATTTCCCGGAGGGTGAGAGACAGAGAGAGAGAGAGAGAGAGAGAGTAAGAAATCACTCCCCTTGGGGGGATGGTCACACCACTATTCTTTCTCCTTCATGTTTCCACCCTATTGGGATTTGGGGCACACATACACATGCCCCTGGTATGTTTTTCAAGCTGTGGATTCCAGGACTCGAACTGTGCATTTGGCTTTGTGTAATCCAGCTGCCTTCAGCGTGGCTGGCCCTGTTTATTATCTTTTATATGCTCTTTGTTTTTTTGTAAAGAATTATTTACATGTGTCTCTGTAGATCTGGAGCAGTAATCACCTGTTCCCCAATGCAGAGGAAGCTACCCTTTTTCTGGGGACACTGGACACTATTTTCCTCTTCTCTTACGCTGCGGTAAGTTTTTGTTTGTTTTAATTATTTAATTATTTTTTAAGTTATTCTTTTTTAAACGTTCTATTGCTATGCATCATTTGGCTTGTGGTAAGCTTTTGAATTCCAGGGTTTTAAGTTGTGGAAAAATGTAAAAGGAAATAACCATAGCTTAGGAAGTTTGTAAGGGATTTGGACTTTGCTGACTGAGAAGGAATTTATATCTGAAGTTTATATTTTGTGTCCTTCCCAGTCATTCATTTATTTGACAGACACTCTTGTGCATCTAGCATGTGCCAATGGAAATGTATTGTGGGCCAAACAAATCCTTGGTTTATAAGCTTACATCCTTGGATTGGGGGTTATGGGCGACAAATGGTAACAAGCTGCTATAAATAAGTAAATGTTAAATATGTTTGTATACATGTATTTGTTATAGGAAAGATTTTTGCTGTAGTGTGCATGCGCTCACCAGAGACACAGAGAGACAGAGAGAGAGGAAGTAAGAAACCACCCTCCAGCGGGGATGGCCATGTCGCAGTCTCTTCTCCTCCATCCTCTTCCTGGGATTTTAGGCACACATGCATGTGCACCGTTGCAATTTTCAACCTGAGACTCAAACTGTGGTCAGCTGTTTGGGAGTTCAGTGCCATAATCACTATGCTACCTTTTGGCCCTGTAAATTATATTTTTGAAGGTGATAAGTGCTCTGGAGCAAAGTAAAGCAGAGAAAGGGGACTAGGTAGTGCTGGGTAGGGTTGTCACTCTCAGTGGGATGACTGGGGGAGACCTCCCAGGGTGAGGGTGTTTGAGTGAATGAGGCTGTGTGAACAGAGCCCAAGGAGGTGCAGTCAGAGAGGCAGCGGGACTCAGATCTTGGGGGCCTGGGTCTGTGTCGGGGCTTTGGTTTTCTCCAGTGAGTTGGGAGCCACTGGAAGGTTTTGTGTGTTGAAGTGACAGGATCTGACTCAGATCTGGACAGGCTCATGTGCTGCTCGCGAGACGAGACTAGAGGGCAGAAGCAGAAAGAGGACATGAGTCAGGCTTGCAGGTTGAGGTGAAGGACGATGGAGGCTCGGGTCCATGATAGCAGTGCTAGAGGTGGGGGGACATAGAGTTGTGCTGTGTTTTGGAGGTAAGGCTAACAGTATTTCTCCTTGCTGAATGTGGAATACAAGAGATGGTGTCAGGGATAACCTTAGGGTGGAAAGGTCCCGGCAGAGTGGAAGACTTACAGGAAGGGCAGCCTTTGAAGGAGTCTCTTGGTCACATGCTGTTATATCAGAGATGTCTCCTCTCTCCCAGTTGATGAGGAGCGGACATTTGGTTGTGAGTCTGGGGTTCAATGCACAGGATCAGGCTGGAGAGAGAAAATTTCAGAGTCATTAGCAGAGAGCTAGTTTTCTTGTCTTGTCTTTTCTTTTGGCCATAGAGTGTGCACTCACCAGAGAGAGACAGAGATAGAGACAGAAAGTGAGAAATGGCCATACAGCAGTCCCTTTTCCATTCTCCTGTTGGGATTTTGGGCTTGCACACGTGCATGCCGATATGTCCCTCAAGATGCCAGGTCCAGGGCTCAGACAACCCACTTGTCCATGTAGGATCTAGCTATGTCAACCACCATGCCACAGGCTGGCCCAGAATTTTTTTTAGAGTGAAATTTTTGCTGTAGGGCACGTGTGAGACAGAGAGAGACAAAGAGACAGAAAGTGAGTAATCACCCCCTGGGGGTGGCCACTCCACAATCCCTTCTCTTCTCGGAATCTTGGGCACGCACGCACATGTACCTGGTGTGAGTTATTATGTTTTTAAAGAATTATTTTATTTAACTTTATGTATGTATGTATGTACGTATGTATTTAAATTTGACCAGAGAGGGCCAGAATGAAAGAGAAAGAAAGAGAAGGAAAGTGAGAAAGCAAGCCACTGCTAGGTCCAGGACTTGGACTGCAGACAGCCCATGTGGGGTCCAGCACCCTCAACCACCATAAACACCTGTCGGCCCCTCAGAGGGAGTTTTAAGCTGCCGAGTCTGGGACTTGAACCATGGTCTACTACATGGGAGTCCGGTGATGTAACCAGCCATCTGCTGGTCCTGATACCTGTTATTTAAAAAAAAAAAAAAAAATTATTTAATTTTTATTCATCATCATTAATTTTTTAAAATTTACTATAGGGCACATGTGCTCACCAGAGAGAGAGAGAGAGACAGAGAGAGAGAGAGAAAGCTGCCAGATCTGGAACTAGAACAGGTGGGAGTCCAGTGCCTCATCCACCATGCCACTTGCTGGCCCCAGAATATCTTTTCTTTGGAGAGGAGGCACACAGAAACTGTTGAAATGAGATCTTGTATTTATTTAGCCTTGCTCCTCATCATGGGCATTTTCTGTGCACACCCCTGAGAGGAAGTCGTCGGACTTTGGCTAGGTGCTCCCAGTATGCGTGCTGACTCCTCGGAGCCACCTGCCTCTCAGAGAATTCCAGGAGGCAGCGCGGTGTAGTGGAAAGACCAGTGCTGCTACGGTTAACTACCTGCATTAAACTTGGCTTCCAAATGGGATTTGGCCTTTTCCTAATGTTTCGTTTCCTCATCTATAGAGCTGTGATGATGGGATTAAGTTAAACCCGGTATTAACAAAGGATCATGTAGATTTAGGAGGGACCAGCAGATGGTGTAATGGTTATGTCATGGGACTCCATGTAGTCGACCGGGTTTGAGTCCTGGACCTGGCGGCTTAAAACTCACACAGGGTAAGTTTATGTGGGTATGCCCAAAATCTTAAGAGGAGAATGGAGGAGAAGGGATTGTGGCATGGCCATCCCCCATGCAGGGTGATTGGTCTCTTTTTGTCTCTCTGGCAAGTGCATGTGCCCTACAGCAAAAATCTCTCTCTTTAAAAACAAACAAAAAAGGGAACCAGCAGTTAGCGTAATGGCTATGTCGCTGGACTCCCACGTAGTCGACTGCAGTTCGTGTCCTGGACCCGGTGGCTTAAAACTCACGCCGGGCGCGTGTGCGTGCGTGCCCAAGATCCCGAGAGGAGAATGGAGGAGAAGGGATTGCGGCGTGACCATCCCCTCTGGGGGGTGATTTCTCCCTTTCTGTCTCTATGTCTCTCTCTGTCTGTCTGGCGAGCGCACGCGCCCTACAGTGAAAATCTCTCCAAAAAAAAAAAAGAAAAAAGAAAAGGAACCAGCAGATGGCCTAATCGCTATGTTGCTGGACTCCCATGTAGTTGGTCATGGTTCACGTCCTAGACCTGGTAGCTTAAATTCACTCTGGGCACTTGTGCATGTGTGCCCAAGATCCTGAGAGGAGAATGGAGGAGAAGGGATTGCGGCATGGCCATCCTCCTTGGGGGGTGATTTCTCGCTTTCTGTCTCTCTATCTCTGTCTTTCTGGTGAGTGCACATGCCCTATAGCAAAAACCTCTCCAAAAAAAGAGAAAAAAAAATAGATTTAGGAGATAAAAGGTAAGTGCTACGAGATCGGTGGCCGCGGTTTATACTGAGCTGCGTCTCCTCCTGCACGTCCAGGCATTTTGTTTGCTCTAGCAGCGCAGAGCAAACCTGAAGCGGAATCAAGAGATTTCCTTGGTTCCCTTCATCCCTTTGCTGTATATGACGGGACTTCAAAAAGTCTGTGGAAACATGGAATTAAAGTACAAGTTTATTTTGGTCCAAAACACTTTCAGAGGCAGCTGGTGCCACATGGCAAACTGCTTGGTTTGAGTCCCAGAGCCAGTGGCCTGAGATCGATGCCGAGTGTGTGTGTGGTGCGTGCGCGCACTCAAAGTCACAGAAGGAGGGAGAAAGGGAGAAAGGATTGCTGTGTGACCATGCTGCATGGGGGGCGGATTCCTTCCCTCCCCTTCTCCTACCTCTGGTGAGTGCATGTGCCTTGTGGCAAAAGTAGAAACAAAACAAAACAAAACAAAAAAACAGCGTTTTTGAATCTGTGTGTAGGTTTTTCATAATACTGATTTTCTTTGTTTTATTGTCAGAGAGCACGTGTACTCACCAGAGAGAGATGGAGAGACAGAGAGAAGAGGTTGAGAAAGCACCAATGAATTGGGAGTAGTCATACCACAGTCCCATCCCCTCTGTCTATTCTGTCAGGATTTGGGGCACACATGCACACATGCCAGCATGTTTTTCAGGCCCCCGGCTCTGGGATTCAGACTGTGGTCAGCCATGTGGGATCTGGTTCCCTTAGCCATTAGGCTATAGGATGGATCTCACATAGTACATTTTCTGTATGAATCTTTTCTATGCCCCAGGGGTGTGTTTTCTTACCAGAGTGAGACAGAGCGAGAGAAAACCCCCCAATGGGACACATACATCACAGTCCCTTTTTCTCAATTTCTCCATCCCATCAGGATTTGGGCATGCATGCACATGTGCTTGGTGTATTTTTCAAGCCTACGGGGCTGGGCTTTGAACCGTATGGAACCCAACTCTGTGCACAGGCCTTAACTACTGCGCTATAGGGCTGGCTCTCCACAGGCTTTTAGAAGACCCTTTGTATAGTGTAAGTTGCTTGAGTGGCAGCTTTAGGCCAAGAGGTTTACCTGCGCCTCTTAACGAAATGAAAGCTTGATGATAATGAGGGAGAAATATTGATCGTCAGCGACTTCTGTCTTCTCAGTTTTCTGTAATATAGTGACAGTTTATTAGAAATCTTTTGTCCTACCTGAATTTTGTGTGCCTGCTGGGGAGAGACAGAGAGAGAGAGGAGAATGAGAAAGTCAAAGAAAGAGAGAGAAGGAAAGTGAGAGAGAGAGAGAAAATAAAGCCGAACCATGCAGTCAGCCATGTGGGATCCAGCTGCCCTAACCACCATGCCACCAACTGGTCCTAAATTTAGGGTCTTTTGTTTGTTTGTTTTGTTTTAGTTTTTGCTATAGGGTGCATGCACTCACCAGAGACAGAGGCAGAGTGAGAAATCAGCCCCCAGGATGGATGGCCATGCTGTATTCTCTTCTGCATTGTCTTCCTAGGACTCTGGGTACACACGCACACACCCCCGACATGCTTTTTAGGCCACCTGTTTGTGGGATCTGTCTGTCCTAACCACCGTGCCACTGACTGACCCAAATTTAGGTTTTAAGTCAAGACGTTCATTCCTTTTGTATATTTAGGGGGAAACCTAAAGTGTCACTCTTCAGGTCTTCAGTCTCCCACCATTTCTCCCTCCCTTCGGTGGGTGGAGGCAGAAGGCAAAAGTTGGCACCTACCTGCAGGGGTTATCTCTCTGCCTCCCAAGGATCAGATTAAACAGTGCCCAGAAACTTCTGCTCCACTTCTGCAAGGTCAGGACTCAGCGCAAATAGCTGAGAGGAATCCCCTTGGGAAAGCTTGTGGCCGATGTTTAGGAATCTACTCTAGAAAATGAAATGTATTTGTATGCTTGGTCTATTATATCTTTTTTTGGGGAGAGGTTTTTGCTATAGGGCGTGTATGCTCACCAGACAGGCAGAGAGAGACACAGAGACAGAAAGCAAGAAATCACCCCCCGGGGGAATGGCCACACCGCAATCCCTTCTCCTCCATTCTCCTCTTGGGATCTTGGGCACGCACGCATACACGCCCGGCGTGAGTTTAAGCCACTGGGTCCGAAATGTATACCGTGGTCGACTACATGGGAGTCCAGCGACATAGCCATTACGCTAACTGCTGGTCCCTGTCTTTTTTTTTTTTTTTTAGCTAGAAAATCAAGTGAAACTAAGTTTGCAATGAATTATACTGTATGATGGGTAAAGTGTTGTAGATCGGTGTGCAGAAACTAATTGTCATTTTTTATTTTATTTTATTTTTTTTTGGAGAGGTTTTTACTATAGGGCGCATGTGCTCGCCAGACAGACAGGGAGAGACAGAGAGATAGAAAGTGAGAAATCACCCCCCAGGGGGGATGGCCACACCGCAATCCCTTCTCCTCCATTCTCCTCTTGGGATCTTGGGCACGCATGCACACGCGCCCAGCGTGAGTTTAAGCCACCGGGTCCGGGACTCGAACCGCGGTCGACTACATGGGAGTCCAGTGACATAGCCATTACGCTAACTGCTGGTCCCTCATTGTCATTTAATGAAAAATTTTGAAACTTGTGTAGACATACAGTCAAGGCTTGTGATCATGACTCAGTTTTCTTTTTTAAAGAATTATTTAATTTTACTCATCATCATCGTTATTATTATTAAATTTGACTGGAGGGAGGTAGAGAGAGGCAGAGAGAAGGTGAGAAAGCAAGCCACCGGATCCGAGACTCAAACCATGTTCAGTCGTGTGGGAGTCCAGCACTTTAACAACCACCACGCCACCTGCCGGCCCCAAGACTCAGTTTTGTATAAACTCAGTGTTTTGTTTACCTCCTTTGCAATGCATGCTACTTTTTCCAGACTGTTATTTAGCAATATCAAATAAACTGTTTTATTTTTAGGGCCTTTTCATCAGTGGTATCCTTGGGGATCGGCTGAATTTACGATGGGTTCTTTCTTTTGGCATGTGCTCTTCTGCCTTAGTGGTAAGTTGGAAAGATCTTGTAATTGTTACTTTGGTCAGAGATTTTAGAATCCAAGCACCCTCCGTACTTCTGTGTGTAGACTAGACTAGTAATATTAGTTTTCAGTGTTCTAGTTCCTTGTTTGGCTCTTCACTTAGGGGAGTCTTTTTAAAATCTGATTCTGATCAGATCCCTTCTTGACTCTTAGGCACCAGCAGTCTAATGAATAGCCTGAGAACGAGGCCTGGTGTCAGTCTCTGGAGAAGCTGGTCCCAGCCTGCTCTTTCATCATGTTTATCATGCAGCACCCCTAGCCCAGCCAAGCCAGACTGCTTTCCCTGCCCCTGGTCTTTCCCTGTCAGTTGCTCTTGCTCCTGCCCTTCTTCTTTCTTAATTGGCTTTCTTTCCAGCTCTCTATAATCTAATTTGATGTTTCTTTCAAGTCTTCGGCCAAACGGCACCTCTTTCAGGATGCCTGACTACCGAGCCCAGCCCTGGAAGTAACCATTCTTCCCTTCCTCTGAGCTCTCGTGCTGTGTCCCTTTGCAGACACTCAGAACTACCTGCCGCTTAGCCTGTTACTTCTGTCCAGTCTTACGTCCCCTCAGTGTGGGTGGCATAGTGGGTAAGAGCACAGATAGCCCTAGACCAGGAGGCCTAGGTTTCTGTCCTGCGTCTGCAATTTTCTGGCTTATAATTTCTCTGGGCATCAGATTTTTCATTCAAAACAGTAAATATACATATTCCTCCCTCCTAGCCTTGTAAAAAGGATTGTATGAATTCCGTACGAGAGGCGTTTGAACAACGTCTGGCACGTTAAGGGCAAGATCCCTAGCTGATTTATCTACATTCGTTTCTAGTAGTGTTCTTTTCTTTCTTTCTTTTTAAATTTTTTTTTTTTTAACTTTCTTTCTTTCTTTCTTTTTAATTTGACCAAAGACGGACAGAGTGGGGTGGTGCAGGGAGGAGTGAGACAGCAAGTCGTCAGGTCTGGGACTTGAACCATAGTTGGCCGTGTGGGAGTCCAGCTCCCTTAACCACCACGCCACCTCTGGCCCTTCTAGTGAGGGTGTTCTATTGATTGATGGAACCATGGAGTTTAAGTTAGATCCTAATTTATTACTGCTTATCAGTGCCATTTGAGTGCTGGAGAAAACTTTTTTCCCTTGAAATTTTAGAGATCAAAGCAATTTATTTACTCACAAGATGCTCACTTATATATGCATTCCATATATGTATGCATTTTGGGGTATTTTTTAAAAAATTGAGTTATGTATGAAAACTCACCTAGTTTAGTTTATAGTTGAGTTTGAGAAACACATATAATCGTGTAACTACCCTTCCTTCTTCCCCCCACCCTCTAGCAACCCCTGACCATTTTTGTGTCCTTACACTTTGGCTTATTTCTGAATGTCACATAACTGGAATCAGACGGTATCTTACATACTAGTTCTGGCTGGTGCCAAGTATTCCCCAAATAGACTTCGACTGCAAATCCTTGAGCAAGATGCCCGGGGAAAAAGCAGCCACTTGCTGAAAGTACTAAATGATTCAACAGATCCTAAGTTAGGTTTGTTCACCTTCACGGATCACCTTAGTAGCTGTGGTCGTGACGAAGGCAGGCACTTAGCCAGCACTCTTCTCTTCTCTTTTGAAGTTTCTTTCTTTCTCCCTGAAGTGAGCTGGAGAAGACAGATCTTGACGCCATGATTCACCTCTAGCCTGGGCCACTCCAGATCACGGGCATGTGTGTGCCTGGCATAGTCAGGGAGGTCTCTGGGTGTGAACCCAGACCCTTCCCAGGTGAATCAGTCCCGCAAGGTGTCAGCTCCCTACTGGGTCTGAATGAAGTGACATACGTGGATTCCTTAAGTCCCCACAGCAGCTCTCGGAAAGCCCCACTTTTCCTCCACATACACAGGTCTGAGGGAGAGGAGAGAGAATCAGATGAAAAGTGAGGTTTAGAAATTGGGACCAGCAGGTGGCATAGTGGTTAAGGCACTGAACTCCCACATGGCCAACTGTAGTTTGAGTCCCAGATCTGGTGGCTTGAAAATCATGCTGGGCGCATTTGTATGCATGCCCAAAATCCCAAGAGGAAAATGCAAGAGAAAGGATTGCAGTGTGGCCATCCCCCTGGTGGGGTGAATTTTCACTTAACCTCTCTTTTTCTCTGTCTCTTTCTCTCTGTTTCTATCTCTCTAACAAGTGCATGTGCCCTATACCAAAAATCCACTCCCCCCCAAAAAAATTAGAAATGGACTTTTGAATTGAAGACACAAGCTGGAGGGATTGACAGACATTTTAGTGACCTTTGCTCTCTGGGTGGTGACCTTTGCTGTCTTGGCAGTAGCCTCCTCAGGGCTGCCGCTGAGCAGGAGTGTTGTAAGAGTCAGCCGCATGTCCCCAGCCTGGATGTTTGAGTGTGCTCTTCGCGTCGTGCCTTTACCCAGAAGCACGAGGACAGGAGGCAGCTGCGTGTGCCGAAGTGCCTGCGGATGTTACACGCCCTTTGTATTTGCTTCTCCCCTCAGGTGTTTGTCTTTGGCACGCTCACCGAGTGGCTGCGCTTCTACGACAAGTGGTTGTACTGCTGCCTGTGGGTTGTGAACGGCCTGCTGCAGTCCACCGGGTGGCCCTGCGTGGTGGCTGTTATGGGCAACTGGTTCGGGAAAGCTGGGTATGCCACTTCCTTCCTCTCTGATTACTCTATTTAAGTGGTTTTCACGTTGCATCCGCCAGCCTTACCCAAGTCAATTAACTTGATGCCTGAGACGCTGCTCACGTCTTCCCTCTATTTTAGAGAGCATAGTTTGGGGTGAGATGGTTTCAAGAGTATACTGGAAACGCCGTGGGCCTTAGAGATGCTTCAGCCCAGCATGACACCTTCAGAACACTTTGCTGGCCAAGGTCAGATCTGAGTGTGGGCTGGGTGAGTGTGTCTCATTTCTTTTCAGTTTTTTTTTTTTTTTTTTAATTTTTAAAAGCTAAAAGACTTTTGTTATAGGGTGATGCATTTGCCAGAGAGAGGAAGTGAGAAAGCACTCCTTGGTGGTGGTGGGGTGACCATATTATAGTCCCTTCTCCATTCTCCTCTTGGGGCTTTGGGCATGCACGTGTGCCTAGTGTGTTTTTCAAGCCACTGGATGTTGGTGGGTCCAGACCTTGAACCTCGTAGCTGGCTGTGCCAGCCACCTGACTGACCCCCCCCCCCTTTTTTTTTTTAAACTCTCATTGTCCTTGTGTATCTTCCTTTGGGTTTTGCCTTTTCCTCCCTTTGTTTGAAACTCAGTGATCTGGTTTAACCTTTGACACTAAAGATAAGGATACTGAGGCTTTAAGCACACTAAACCTCAGGGCTTAGTTAAATTGGATATTTCCTTCTCTAAATCTTCAAGTAGTTGTTAGGTTGTGTTTGACTTTGTGTGGTGGGAAAGGTAGGTAACTACCAAAGTGCCCTCTAGGCCACCCAGGAAGAAGAACCAGACTTTATTTAGAGGAAGGAAAATAAGTTGAGTTGACCAAAATATTTGCTTTGTTGTCGATCATTCTTTATGACACTCTAAGGGATTTTTCTTTTTATCTCTATTTTTTTTTTAAGAATTATTTTATTTAACTTTATTTATTTACTTATTTATTTTAATTTGATCAGAAAGGGACAGAGTGAGAGAGAAAGTGAGAAAGCTAGATGCCGGATCTGGGATTCTAGCTGTGGTTGGCCATGTGGGAGTTCAGTACCCTTACCCACCATGCCACCTGCCAGCCCCTCAGGAATATTAATTTGGATTTTTACCATTTCTCCTGGATAAACATGGGTTTATAAATGCATATTTCAGAGGCGTATTTGTCTCCCCTCTGGCTCTGTTGTTTTTGTGTTTGCTCTTTCATGTGGGGACTGGTGTGTTCAACAGATACTACCCCCTCCGTGGTGTGGTATGCAGGGCTGGCTGCTGTCTCGGTTTTCCAGCTTCTCCAGTTTCATAATGGGAGTTAGCTTACTTGTTATGATCTGTACCATTGTGAACGTCCACCCGTAAAATGTCTTGTGGTCAGAATAAGCACCACTTCGTAAGGATGCTCAGATTGCAGTTCAGCGTGCTAGTGGTTCTCATCCCCGCTCTGGAGTCATGAGGGTACCAATCGCATCATTAAGGTGCTTGCCTAGGATTCTTCCGTTTTCTTTTGGTGTAGGTGGTACAGGCTCTCTTTTTTAAAGTTTCTTTTCTTTCTTTATTTTTAGAGAGATTTTTGCTATAGAGTGTGCATGCTCACCAGAGAGACAGAAAAGTGTGAAATCAACCCCCGCGGGAATGACCACGCCGCAGTCCCTTCTCCTCTTGGGACTTTGGGCATGGATGCACATGTACCTAGCATGAGTTTTAAGCCACTGGGTCCAGGACTCAAATCGTAGTCGACTACATGGGAGTCCAGTGATGTAACCATTACACCACCTGCTGGTCCCATTTATTACTATTATTTATTAAATTTGCTATAAGGCATGTGTGCTTAGTAGAGTGAGGCAGAGAAAGAGAGGGAAAGCGAGAAAGCAAGCCACCAGGACTTGAACCAGGTTTGGCCACGTGGAGAGTCTAGCACCTTAACCACCGTGCCGTCTGCTGACCCCTTGTTTTGTTTTGTTTTTTGTGTTAAGCTTTTTAAGGTATTTTTTCCCATTCACAATTTCATAAAAAATATACAACACATGTTGTGTGTTATCAACAAATCAATAAATGAACAAGAAAAATAAAGGTTAAATTAACTGAAATCCTGCCTTTCAAAGATAATAGTCAATTTTAATGTGTCACTTTGAGAGAATTCTTTTCTAAGCTTTTGTGAATTGGATGACACTGAGTCTTTGAGCTGTTCATTATATCTGTGGATCAGTCACAAAGGAAGAAAATTCAAGAAAGCCAGTTTTTATTTTAAAGAGGTTTTTGCCATAGGGCACATGCATTCACTGGGTGAGAGAGAGATCTCCCCCTGGGCACAATGTCCATACTGCAATCTCTCCTCTTTTATTCTCTCCTTGGGATTTTGAGCATGGATGCACCTGTGCCTAGAGTGATTTTCAGGCTACCAGGTCTGGGACTCGAAATACGGTCATCCGTATAGGCGTATAGGAGTCCAACTCCTTATCCACTGTGCCACCTGCTGGCCTCAGCACAGTATTGGTTTTTTTTTTTTTAATTACTTAATTTTATTTATTATTATTCCTTTTTTTTTTTTTTTTTTTGGGGGGGTTTTTTCCTTAGGGCCCGTGTGTTTTC